GGCAGCTATGGCATTCTGGGAATGCATACAATATGGAGATCGCCGTTCGTAAATTTGGTGCTTTTTGTAAGAAAAGCCTAAAATGAGAGAAGSTTTTTCATATCTTTGATCTGTGTGATTGCCTATGCAGTCATAAATTTCTTTCTGGATTTTTAAAGTGCCGCATCTTCTCAAACTTTCAACAGAATATTTTTGGAATTGGTAAATATACTAATTTTAGGCCATTCTTTTCAGTTGTTGTAATAGATTACTTCTAAATACCTAGATTAAAAAAGGATTAATTATGTATCAGTGCGAACTAGCATATTTTTGTGAATGTGATCACACACATTAAAACCCCTAGCTACTCAACACATTGTTTAGAGACTCTAGTGACATGTACTGATATTGTTGAATATCTGGATACTAGTGGCAATTCAGTGCTATTATATCTGTATTGTATATACGTAGTTTTTATTTTATTTTAGTTCTGTTCGCTGCTGAAAATGGATGTTTTGGCTTCAGATGAAGGTAAGACAAACAAAAGATCATATGCCATTAGATTACTGAGCAAAAAGTCGGGAAAGATTTTATACAGATTCATAAAATTGTAAACATTTTCAGATTGTAACGAGCCACTTGTCCTGCCTGATAATGCAAACTTGACGTCAACCACAGCAAGAAATCCACCAACACGTTTTGGACCTCAACAAGCATTTCTCCACAATACGCATGCTTGGTGTGCTAGTTTATCTAWCGCTGACCAGTACCTTGTGATAGACATAGGGCTCGTCAAGATGATCAAGTCAATAGCAATACAAGGGAATCCAAACAATGACGAGTTTGTCAAGTCTTTTAGTGTATCGTATGCAGTTKTTGAGGGTCAGTGGTTAYRATACACTGAGATCGGCGCCAGASGTATAGTGAGTAYCACGTGATTGCAATGGCCATTTTTTGGCATTCTCATTGAATGGTCATGCGCAAAAGAATTGAAGATGATCCCAAAAAGAAAAAAATATCTATRAATATATATATATYAATAAAATTATCCTCTGGTCCTCTTCTTTAATTCTTTTGTGCGACGTTAGTCAACCGAAAGTCACTGCCTAAACTAAATTTCTTCAGTTTATCAAGTTTTGAAAATGATGCGGTTT